TCCCATCTTTAAATAAAACTTTTCATTAGAGTATTTATTATGCTTGTGCACTTATTGCAGAATTCTGACTTCATAAAAATGCAAATACTAAAACCACAACATATTTACATTTACCAAACTATTTTCATAAAACAATGCATAAAATGGTCAGTTTTCAAATAAGTAAGCATATTTTCAAAACCGTTTTAACTAAAATATTTATTATTCTAGATTTTACTGATAGAAAGTAATAGATATTTATTTTTTAAGCAGGTGCAGTATGAAGTATTTTATAAAGGAAGCAGTTGAGGTTTTGTTTAAATACGGCAAAACGTTTAGAACAAAGTAGTTACCATCTTCTGCAGGTCAACTGTGCTTATCCGTCCTGCCTCCTTCTTCATCTGGTCCACACCCTTTTGTGCCAGATTGAGGTAGGCCTGTAGGTGATGTCTCATCATGGCGAGTCGGAGCACACACATCAGTATAATAAGCCATAACCTCAACGTATCAAATGTCTCCTCACTCATCCTGGTATTAATAGGAAGGCGGATATAAGGGAGGAGAAACAAAAAGAAAACTAGTTTTTTTTTTTTTCTGGTTCGAAAAAACATCATAAAGCTCCATCTGGATAGTAAGTAGAGATGCTGAGAGAGAAAGAAATGACGAGGGGAGGAAAAAGAGACACAAACAGCTCAGAGGAAAAAGCAAGAGAGGGTGAAATTGAGGTATAAAAAGGTGAAAAGGGGGTAGTGTAACATGAAATTAAACTTAATCAGGTTTGACCTTGATGTGTATAACAGACTATGTCAAAGGCAGAAGAAAGTTAGATAGGAGACAGACTTCAAACAACAAGTAGAAGACATGTTAGAATTAACGATGAGAGATAAGATAAAAAACAAAACTGTTTTGTCAATAATATATTTGCTTTTGGTTTCATTCAACTGTATGAAGACAACGTCTGCATTGTTGTCACTTCATTGAGGGACTAAACTCAACATTCTCCTGCTTCTCATTAAAAACCTCTAATCTGTATGGAAACATTAAACTGTATCGTATAAGATCATATACCGGTAGATCTACAGTACTCAGAAGCTGACTTGCAGCAGAGAGACCAGAAACTGGTGAATGAAACTGTATTAAATCTCTTAAACTCGTCTTATCGTGCAAATGTAAAGCACCTCTAATTCATTAGAATCTCTGCTGCTAAGATATTACAGTCAGCAGTCATTCTGTAATAGAAAGTTACAAGTTTCTACGTTGACAGTTCATATGAAAGTTACTGCAATATTAGGCAAAGTTGCATAACATTACAAATTAATCAGAAGTCAACATTTACACAATTTCTAATGTAGATTTTATTTTTGGAAATGTATTTTTGCCGATAAGAGAACTAAATATGATTTTTACAGTATTTAAAAGAAAAAAAGCAGTATATAGTATTGTATGGTAAGGACATGATACTTTTACTTACAAAGGCACACTCTCCTTCCCAAGAGTGGGATTCAGTATGTAGTCCTTGGTAATAGGCTTTACCCACAGCAGGACCATAATGAGAGGGGAAAGGAAGTTGATATAAAGCAAAGTTCTGTGAAACAATTAAGAAGCAGAGACATCTGGTAAACAGTGCTGCAAAGCTTTATCATTCTGACCTAGTGCATTGTTGAAAAGCTGACCTGGAGTCTTTCATTTTAACCCTAATGTCCTGCTTTAGAAATCTAACCTTCCCCTGTTACAATCATGATAAACAAACTCTATCTCAATTATAACTGAGCTGAGGAGGAGGATGATGGAGATCTACAAATAAACAGTGTTAGTGCACAATGGCTTTGACAGTGGATCAGTGAGTAACGCTGCTGAAAGATTGTTAGTTCGATTCCACCTTCCCCTGGTCACATGTCGATGTGCCCTAAGGCAAGGCACATTGCTTACTGACCTGCAGATCGGTGTATGAATATGTGCGCATTAGTGAATGTGTTTGGGTGAATTTGACTATAGTAAAAAGTGAACTTCAGTGGAGGACGAGAAAAGCACTGTTATAAATAAAATCATTTACCACTGAAAATGGGAATGTTTTGTTTGCTTTAGCGATGCCAAATTCAGGAAAAAAATAACATGGAAAAAAAAACAGAATAACCAAAACAAGAATCACTAGAACAGCATAAGCTCACAGTCTTTAATCTTCTTGCTTTCTGTGCCATCCACCACAGAGTTAAAGTGGGTCAATTCACCAGTGAAGCCTTCTAAATTTTACAGTGGCAAATTTAGACTTTTACTTGTTTGTTATATTTTCAGTGTTTCACTTTTTTGCTGTCCAATCTCCATAGCAGTACTAATTCAGTTACTCAAATTTAGAAAAACAAAATTTTGCACAAGTTACTTAACTTCAAATCTATTCTGCTCTCCTGAAATCTCCATGGCGACAGACAGAGGTACACATAGAACTCTCATTTTAATAAGGGTGTCCACACCTCTTTTGCACCCGTTATCTGTTTTGCAAACATCAAACATGCCCACAGATTCCACATGCAATAACTTCACAAGCAATTTAGCGTTCCTTATTTGGAATCTTAGTATTTCAGCCCCAAGGGTAATATGAAACTTACTGCAGAAAAAACAAGATGAAACCAAAAACTCACTGTGTAAATTTTGCCGTGGTTAGATTAAGTGCATCTAGGTGCATCTGGGCCAATCGTAGGCCAGGAAACGTAAGAAAGGCTCCAATCAGAGAGCAGAGAAGGGCCAGGATCAGCTTGAAGGTGAGTTTAGATATGGGGCCCCTGTGAGAAATAAAAGGATGTAGTTTAAAAATTCTCATCCAAATGCCCTAAATGTAACCAAAAAGCAAAACTCTATGATGACATGATTAGATACAAGTTGCACACAGGCAAAACTGCTGAGGGTGTGGGGTTCCTCATTAGTATTCATTAATACTTTGCAATTTATGTTAAAAGACAGCAAGCAGATCTAAACCATTCCTAAGCATGATTAGGTCCAAAAACACTACATTTCAAGGTTGCAACTTACAATTATTTTGCTTACAATCTGTCGATTATTTTTCCTATTAAACAATTAAGAATCGGATTGCGAAAGGTTCTTTAAACGAGGTGGAACTCAAACTTTTCCACTTGAGGAGTTCTAGATAGAGCATATTGACAGATGAACAACTTTTTTAATCTTGAATGCAAAATGTTTACATATGTTTTTATAATTCTGGGATAATTACTGCACTAAGTGGGTTCCTCTGTCAGCTAAAGGAATGTTTTACAGTCTCAATACTCAAGCTAACGATTTATCGATTACTAAAATAGCTTATGATCATTTCAATAATCAGTTAATCACGAATATTTCGAATAATTGTTTCAGCCCTACTACGTTGACATTTGCTAATATAAAATGTTTGAAATATACAAAAAGAAAAAAAACAGCCTGCTAATAATTATAAAAATGTATAGAGTAAAAACAAAAAGTCTCATGCAGTGTTGAGACCATTTTATGTAAAAGGCTTTGTTTTAAAAAAAAAAATAAAAAATAAAAAAAAGCTTTAAAAGTAGACAGTGAAGGAGCAAAATGTGAACTCATATGTATAGTACAATACAGTATAACACTCATAAGATATGTTAGCTTTTAATTTAATAATAATGTTTCTGATTGTTGGCTAAAGAACATTTGGAGAAGACCATTTAAAACAATCTTCACACATCAGTGTTTCAGTACCACGGACAGAGACCATGGACATCAGTTAAAAAAATAAAACAGCAGCTTAAACTCAACTATTAGCACAATTGTTATACGTTTTAAATCCTCTAATATCAATCTCATTAATGGACCTGTAATTTATGTTATTTTGGAGTTGTCTATTCATTGACATTTTGGAAATTATGTTTATTTTAATGTTAATGTTTTCAATTGTATGTTCAGCACTTTGAGGACCTTTGTTATTTTAAAAGTGCTTTAGAAATACAGGCTATGAGTAATGTTAATATAACATTGAGTATTCCAAGTAAGTTGAAAAGCCTAAAACAAGCTCAATATGAATGTAATATTGTTGGATTAGTTAGATGAAGATTAGAGCATGTATTTAAACAATCATGGTCATTTTAGGCGTTAATGTCAGAGCTAAACAAATGATGCGAAGATATTTTTTTTTTTTTATAAAAAGTGGCAAAGATGAATAATTTTCCACTATGTTAGAACCCCCTTCAACTACAACTATATGCACAAAAACATAAGTACTTACTGTGAATCTAAGCCCTGATGCTCTAGAAACTGTTGAGCACTGTCAGAAAAATTTGCAAAACCTGAGAGTGAAGAAAGATTAAACAGTGACTCGCCATAAGAAGTGAAAAAAGGCTGTCTACTCTTTAAAGTAATTTTTTAGAAAAACTTTTGATGCACCGACCTGTCTCCAGACCAAACTCCAGATAGTTTTCGGTGACAATGAGAATAATCATTGCTTTGACAAAAAAAAAGAAAGCAAAGGTTATGCAGAGGGAGCGTTCGCCTCCTTCCTCTAGCTTGAAGTAGTGGGCCGTGAGGGATGAAAGGATTTTACTAGAGAAAAAAAGCTGTCAAGGAAATACACCGAAACATAAACTAAATATATTTGTTTTTTAAAACTTTTTCACTAATTAAAACTGAAAAACATGAAGGGATCTGTATATGGAACCTCCTAACTCAAATGGTTTAAAATCACCTGTTGTTGCAGCTGCAAGTCTTTTGGGATAGCTCCCATTTTCCTCTCTAGATCCAGGTTTATAAGACTAGATAGTCAGTATATGTAAACAACTATTGCCAAATTTAGCCACAAATGCCTTCTAGTCATTTCATCTGCATGCACACAAACTGGAAAGTCCTAATCTTCTCTATACAGTAGACTACAGCAGTTTAACCCTCCCTATTGGTGGTCTACAATGTAAAAATAAATAATAGATTTTAGCAAGACATCTAATGGATGGATTTCCGATTAAAATTAAGAATGAGAAGGGAGTGGATGATGAAAGGATACATGACAAAGGCGAGTACAAGTAGGCACCAGACCACGCTGATGTTCATCTCCCCTGAGGGCTGGGCCACACTGTAGTAAAGCTCTGTAATCAGATACACTGCTGTAGCTGCTACTGTGAAATCCACCAGCCACTGGAACTCAGGAAAGTAGTACAATGCTAAGGGAGAAAAGAAGAAATTAAAATTACTATACTATTTAAGTGTTAATGCAATACAACGTAAAAACATAAATAAACTTTGTCTGAAATTCTCTGGGTTGGAGAAGTTTGAAAACATACCTAATGTGTCGACTTCTGTTATGCATTTTGTCTCCAGTTGCAGGTCTATGTCCTTTGGAACCGTTAGCGGTTTATTGTCTATGTGACCATTGTACTTCCTAGTACATGAGGATAGCACCAAGAAAATCAGTGTTAACATTAAAATACAAAGAAACATAGACAATCTCAAAGCTGTGTAAAAACACGAGGAGTAAAACTGGTTTTACCACACAAAATGAAGACAATAATTCAATATCAACATGTATCATAATAAAACTTTATTAAAACTGTGATATGACATTTCAGGTGTTTCATTATACATTACAGCAAATGCTTACCGAATTTGTCCATTACATTCTGAGTTTTCTGTAGAGTCTATTGAGGAACAGCACTTTCTTTTTGGAAGTTCTTCATAAATGCCATTTGTAAGCCGTTTTTTAAAATGCTTTCTAATAACAGTCCACACTGTATTAATATTTAATGTGCATGTATTTTTAAAATTAAACATCCTGTACCTTTTACCTGTACCTTGCTGAACGGAAGAGCCCCCTCATATGTTGCTCAAAATGTACGATACTTAGATCGACCAAATCTGAACTAAAAAGAACAAAATTACCTTGAACATTTTCTAACATACATTTTGCGATTCCTGTAACTTGACACCTTGCTCTTATGAACCTTATTAGGACTGAAATTAACGATTTATTTGCAAATCGATTAATCTGTCCATAATTTTTTCGATTAACTGGTTAATAATCAGATGGCCAAAGGTTCTTTAAAGAAGTTTTTTTTTACAAAATTAAACCAGGTGAAACCAAAACGTTTCCATTTGAGGAGTTCTGGATATAGCATATTGGTAGACAAAAAACATTCTTTTTTTTTAATCTTAAATGCAAAATGTTTACATTTTCACAATTTTGATATCGTTACTGCTCTATGTATGTTGCTCTGTACACTAAATGCATATTTTAGAGTGTCTATAGTCCAGTTAACGATTAATCGATTACGGAATAAGTTAACAATTATTTCAATAATCAATTAATCATGATGAATCTGATTAATTGTTTCAGCCCTATACCTAATAAAATGTAATATAATGAGCTAAAAGTTCCATTACACCCTTCAATCATTAGCCTCAGTGCTGCTAAGGTGGGTGTCACAGGGTTTAGAAGTTACTTTTAGAATCAGGAACATTATAATCAAAGTAGGCTAGAGATTTTTCAACTTTGTATTCATTATTACTTTTTCTCTCCCATCTCCAAATTCAGAAGCCTGAGGATTATAGTAATCTTGAATGAGCCTATGGCAAAAAAAAAAGTTGAGTAGTCCTTCGTGACAAATACCAGAGGCCTCTTTCATGTTAACAGAGGGAGGTCAACACTAACAGGTGGAGAATAGAGAAAAACTGCGTACATCCTGGACTCAGAAATACAATGCCACCGTAAGACGCTAGCGCCAAACATGCCCTTGACATATTTCATCTATGAGACACCTCACAGGAAAAAAAAAAGGATTAGCTCCACCCCTGACTGAGGGAGTCACTCTGGTAACAAAGAAAATGGAGTTGATTGAAAAGAGCTGAAAAGGATAGTGGTCCATCTTTTTTCTTTAAGGAATTATTGAACATGTGGTGCTGGAGAGACTTGACCTGCCTCTGACAGGGTCAGAGAAAGGACTACAAAAAAACATCTCTAGTTCAGATATACCATGTGGTATGGTAAGGATTAACGTCAAGATACCTTATTCAGATTCACTCTGCCAGGGTAGGTGGGTGTGGGGTGCAAAGCAGAAACAGCTAGTAAACTAAACAGATGGTATAACCTTTTTTTGGCATCAATGAAACCTTTTCAGAGATGAAAAATAATTTAAGACGAAAACAATGTTTAGGAATAAAAGTCTCTCTATTTTAAAAATATATTGCTTTTATAGGAACTGCAGCATTCTACACCATTACCTTTCAGAATAGCAGCCCAAATAAAAAAGTATCCCACCTGTCTTTCCGTTTTTGTCCCTTTTGTTTACCAGCCAGGTTCCTCAACTCATCTTCCGTGGGATGTTGATACCACCGCAGACTGCAGAAAAATAAAAGGAAAAAGATGTTTTGTCAAACAGTGAAATACAGCCGCAAAGAGTCAAAAGCTACAAAACAAAGCAGATGTTTTTGTGGATATAATACATGTTTACAACAGATTAAAGCAAAATGTATCCAACTATGTGATCACTGAGCAGAAAGTAGATTAAATTTGTTCTGAAATAAATTTGGATTTAGAAATACTGCATTAAAATGAATCAAACTACCACTGTGTGTTTATTAACCCTGCTTTTTATGAGAAGTACATTTCACCCATTGTTTGTTACTTTTAAATCCATCACTATCAGAAATATTTAAGTTTCACTGAAAACTATGATTTATAATATAAATCATACATTTTACAATTTCACTTAAAAAAAAAAGTACTCAGTGCATAATGACAACAGCTTAGTAACTGTGACACAGTCGATACATACATATAACACAGTCACTGCACATTGAAAGCTTCCTAGAGAAAACTTACACTTATTTCTTTCTGATTAAAAAATAAATAAATAAATCAAAAACACACTGATCCTCATAGTTTAGAGCCAAGATATTCTTCCAGTTTCCAAGGCAAAAGATTTATACTTTTTTAGGCAATAATTTCCAGAGTTCTATTTGAATTTTGGAATTTGGCATGTAAATGTGGAACTTGCAACACCTACAGTAGAATTAATGAGTGGCATTGATGGATGCATAAACGGGCATATTGATGGATGGACAGATAGGTAGAAAAGAACAGCAATATGGATGAACAGATTGATTGATGAACCAATGGATGAATCCGTAGAAGGATGGATGCAGAAATGAGTAAACGGTAGACAAATGGATACATGGGAATCTAAGTTTCAGAAAAATAACTGAAAACACATAAAGACCTCCATAGTGGGTAATTACATGCATGTCATTCACACCACGTTTTGGAGAGTCCACCTTACATTACCTTTAATGCAATAATTACACAAAGTGAGCTGTGTTCAAACATGTTGCAGCATATGCAGGTTTAAATGAGGCCTACTGGACGAAGAGGTTACAAAGAATACAATTTCAGTTCTTTCAGGAAATTCATTAGGAGTTACAGTAAATAACTCATATAGTGGCCCATGATTCAGTATCCAAGGAAAGGGTCATTTAAATACTTCTTAGAATGTTGGAGTACTTCTGAGAAAATCTACTTTAAAATCTAAAATAACTTGGGCTTAAACTGGACTGAAAAAGTCTACAACATTAGTCTCAGATGCATCACTGCTCCAACGAAGCGGACTCAAACTAATGGCTCGTTAACAAGGCCTTTGCCAAACTGAAGATGCTGAAAAGGTAACCAGTCATTTGAATTGACTGTGTAGGAGTGGATGCATCTAAAATTTGCCGGACAGTAGGTCTTGAGGACCAGGGTTGGAGACCTTCTCTACACTAATCAAAAATACAATTGATCCAATCAACCAAATAAATATCTTTTTTTCAAAAACAAAAGTGATTATTCTGTATATTGAAACCTATACCTAAAAGTATTTTTCTTTTCTTGCATAACCTTTCATGTTCTTTTTATAGTATTCTGTTTTAGCAGTCTTAGATGACTATACCATGATACACTATGCAATATGGATCTAATAAACATTAGTATACCATCAAGTTTGATTTAAACAATGTACAATAGACATTTACCACCAAGCTGTTACAACGTACAGCAATAACCACCTTCATCAGCACCAACCATCAATCTGTGCTTTTAGAGAAACACAACAACCAATATATAGTAAGCAGCTCTAGTGGCGTTATTTTCATCAATTCAAATTTGAAGACGGGAGAAGGAGGAGAATGGAGGTGTGGTTATGGCTGCTGAATAGGGGGCATCCTGGCATGTCAGATTTATAGACAGAGTTGGAAGTATGTATTTATTACTCACCTATCAGCAGTTATTGTCTATAACATCAATTGTATGGTTTCTCAATTGATATATGTGGTTCAGTAAAGAACAAAATAAAGAAAAGAAAAATACAGACACACACACAAATTGCATGCAATGATTCATAGAAAATTAATACCTGGGATGGCAAGAACATTTCTATTGACCAATAAGTAGTCACAATGTGAGCCAGTATCATTTTCATCTCTCTCTCTTTGGTCTATCGTCTCTCTTCTGCGTCCAGAAAATCACACAGCTTTTAACAACCATAAAGTATCCAAAATAACAAATAAACAAACATATTCCTTTGTTTTATTTTAAAATAGAATGAGGCTCTACATATCAATCTTTGTTAAAGGCACACTATGCAACATTTTTCAGTTAATTAATGTGTTCCATAACGTTTTGGATGATTAAATGAGTCATTTCAGGTTGAACAAAGGTATTCTCGGCCACCCTGGTGGTCTGTGGGGGAAATACCGCACTTGCAATTGCAGGAGCCCTCGGCCCGCACCAACAGGCTCAGAAGTCTCGCGAGAGTCGGTCTTGCTTTATGGCGAGAACTGCTACACGCCCCCAGTTAAAAGCATGCTCGTTGCTAGCACAGTGGCGATCTTTGTGCAGTTATCATGGCGGAACCAGCGTGAAAACAGCGAAAGCCCATGTCGGAGCAGGCAAGAAAGAGGAAAAGGGCTCCGGACAGAGAGAGGAGTCGTACACGGGTGAACATCGGGCAAGCTTTTTCCGAATGGCGAGAGCTAAAATAAAAAGAAGGCTGCAAGGCTGACGCGGACTTAGCGTTTCTGCTGATGCGATTGTAAGTAACATTGGAATGGTTTCTCTCTCTCTGTGTGCATGTTCATACTTTCACTGTGTTAGCCATTCGTTGCGTTCGCCTGTCTGCTAAGCTCAAAATAACCGCGCCTGGCTTGAAGGAGAAACCAGGAGAACAGCTGTGCATATTTACGACAGTGCACTTTTACTTTCGCCCTCTGGAGGGAGCCTCGCTGGAAAATCAACACCGGTTGCATAGTATACCTTTAATAGAGTAAACAAAGAATACTTCAGTTTATATTTAACTTGAATACTTTGGAATTCTTTAGGCAAATTTCAGGACTCGTACATCTCTAAAGCAAGAATCCTCTTAGGGAAATCGGGTCTAATTTTTGTTTGTCTTTGCTCAAAATTATGAGCCTCCTTATGAAAGCTATACTGTGTCACCCAAACAAAGAAGAAATAAATACAATGACTGGGTGTATAAATATTCCAATTTTTGTGTTGATGACACTTATCCCACCAGAACGGTGAAATGCTTCCCCAATAATAAACCCTGGATAACCAGTTATCTGAAGGAAAGGCTAAATAAGAAAAAAAGAACCTTCAGGATGGGGGGATGGGGAGCTATTCAAGAGTACACAGAAGCAACTTATAGTCAAGATAAGTGAATGAAATGTGGTATATGAGAAACTCAGGTAGAACCATATCAGAGCTGTGTGGTCAGCTGGGGGGAGCAAGTAAAGCCTGGCGGCCTGCAAGGCTTATAACATAGTGGGGGAAACAACCCTCCTATCTTTTTCTCATGCTAAAATATATATATTCTTTCATTTAGTTATGAACTGGTTATCGGCTTTATTGTATATGAAATTCAGTTATACCTATTGGTATAACTGAATTTTATAATTGTATATGGTATAAGCATTCTTTATATATAAATCTCATCAGAAAGGATTCAGATACCCAAGTAGTGTGTAGTAGCTGATGCCGTGTCATACAATCAGAATTTCATACCGCCTCCTAATCAAGACTTGACTTCTAAATTGTATTTTTCCAAAAATGGGATTCAAAACTTATCAAAAAACCTCAATATGTACAGGAAAGTGCAGCTTGAATCCTGATGAAGTAAAGGAAGCATGGCTCCACTCGCTTTCAATTTCACTCTCCATTATTACAAGGTTTACTTCCTGGCTCACTCACAAGTTTGTCAGTTTGTTAGAAAACTAAATTCACACAACTGTAAAAGCTGTGCCAGCACTCAACTAGGAGCTGTACGTCGCTCATCAATGGAGATGCCGGGTTTGCGAAATTGGCCAAGCAAGACAGAAAGTCAGGCAGAAAGGAACAATTGCAGGTCCCTTTAGCATTCAAATGGCACTATAGGGAAAGCTCAGGGAACAGAGGTAACTCAAGTAACAGTATTTATTCTGTTCGGTGAGTTGTAAAAAAACTTTAACACTAAACATGTAAAATTGTTAGGAATTTAAATATTCGTGAGTGCTATATCAACCAGCATTGCGTAAGCCTGTCAGTATTACCATTTGATTTGCTATAATGCCCATTACTCTTCAGAGTATGAGTTGAAACCATTGTTTTTAATAGTTAATGTTTTTTAAATAACAGATCAGTGTAGAGATGAAACAATTATTTGGATTCATTGAGATTAATCGATTATTGAAATATCTGTCAACTAATTTGGAAATGTATAAATCTTAAACTAGACTATAGAGACTAATACATGCCATTAACCGAAAGAGCATCCTACTAAGAAAGGTAATCATGCAAAAACTGTGAAATATATAAAAACACTTTACATTTAAGATGACAAACATTTTCTTGTGAATATGCTCAATCCAAAACTCCTCAACAGGCATAGTTAAATTCAACTTGGTTTAAAGTCAGTTTTAATTATCCTTTAAGTTAGCTTTTGCAATCTGCTAACTAATTGATTAAATAAAAACAATAGGGTAGATCAATTAACAAAATAATCATAGTTGCAGCCCTAGCTCATTGCTTGTCATAGTGTCAATAAGAGCAAGAAGGTTTGCTTTCAGTAAACATACTACCATGTGTTCAATAACCAAAGTATCTGTGCTTCTTCCTGCAGGATTTAAAGCATAGTTGTACGTTGGTAAATACATATTTTTGAAATATTTCATGAAAGAAGTAAGATTATTGTTATCTGAAAACATAGCTTGCCATGCATATAAACTGATAATAATGCACATATAATAAAATTTAATAGATGTTGCTCAATTTCTTCATAAAGGGGAAAACGGGACACGTTAGCCATGGTGTCTGTTGTTCCTTTTCAACATGTATCACTTTTAAATGTGTCAAACTTTAACAGAGATCAGCTACATTTTTAATCAAATCATTCAGGTGTAAGGAATGATCTTATATTACCTGCCACTGCACAGTAGCCATCTTGCGAAGGAGTAATGAGGTAAAATTTTCTGAATAACACTGGCCATTACCATGGTAACCACCAGCTGCACGCCAAACAAAGCCTGTGAGAAAAAAAGGAAAAGTATATAAAGTTATTGATAGACACTACAAACATTGGAAATAAAAACTGTCTTTAAAAAAAAAAGATATTTACTGTAAATACTTTTTAACTTATTCAATGTTCTATTATTTTTATGGATACTTTCATGTATTGTAAAATTACAACCCAAAAACTAGAACAGAAAAAAAAGACAGAACAATGTTCATTCATTCGGTTTTTCCTCCCCAATAATTATCAAATAGAGTAACTTTAAGAATAAAGTAGGAGCCTTCAGTAAAATGTCATTTCATCATTCTGGCATCAGTAATAATTGAAATGGTAATGGATGACATTTTACTGATATTTTCAACCTGACATTGTAGAAAAACAAAAAAAAAAAGCAAAGGGAAGGGAAAGTATAAACAAGAAAAAAATAGTTGGTGGTGATTACTTGACAAGCCTGGTATGATAAAAACTGTATTTCTTTTAATGAGTAATAAAGCACAGTTAGGTTGTTATTTTTCCAAACCTGTTTATATAGCACCAACTCGAAATAACATTTTTAAAGTTTGGTCGTTATGATATAAATTTGACATCCAAAATGAAATTTAAAAAAGGCATCAGAAAGACTGCCAAGTTTGTCCACAAGATCCCTGAACAAACTTCTTACAATTATTTTGCAATTTTGACAAAAATCCTCTAACACACCATTTTGTCAATATTTAGTTGAAGCCTTTCAGTAGCTGTTATGTAGGATGGTGGTCAGAAGACCCTGTGTACAGCAGCGTGGCTTCTGTTAGGGCAGCTGTGGCTACTATCTAGCTTGCCACCATCAGTGTGAG